TCTGAACCCACCTGGTCATCTCATCTCGTGGTGGCTGCGTGGATCCGCCGTGTGAGTGAACTCCACGCAGAAGGCCCGACCTAGCGCAGTAGTAGCGCGGGCGATAGATGGCCGGTCCACGGATCGCGTGGTCTCTGTAGCCTATAGTTAGTGGGAACGTGCGGTACCGTGCACTACGTATATGGTTGTTCATAGTCCATCTATCCAAAAAGGAAAAAAACAATCTACGATGGACGATGGAATATGATCTATTCTATAATAATACTCCCTCCGTCTTTAAATATAAGGGATTTTGGTTGGATGCGCCGTCCCTAAATATAAGAGATTTTGGTTGGATGCGTCTCTTATATTTAGAGACGGAGGGAGTACTAAATCTTAACAAAAAGACTTGTTAGGTTCATTGTCCAGGTTAGGGGTGTGTTTAGTTCACACCAAACTTCCCCCCAACTCCCAACTTTCCATCACATCACATCACATCCAAAACTTTTCTATATATATAAACTCCCAACTTTTTTCCAAACTACCAACTTTTCTTAAACTTCTCATCAATTTCAGGAACTAAACACAGCCTAGATCGTTGGGTTTTGTTTGCGACTGAGGGAGTATCTTCGGCACTCTACCAGATCAGACCATCCTCGTCTCCTAGCACGTGCCAAGTTAAGGGCGAGTAATTTGCCATTCGATTTATTGGAGACAATTTTGCTCTACTAAGAGGTTGTTCAAATTGATGTCATTTTAACCATACAATTTTATAATAAAGTTGTTAAAGATGTATCGATTTAATTTTTTACCAAACTTTATTAAATACATCAAAAATCCTGTCAAAACTTGGCCAATATTGCCAAATGGCAATGCCAAATTTTGATAAGGTTTATTTTAACTATAATCTGAACAACCTTAAATTGTTGACAACTTCAATGTTACTATGCACTATCTCACTTCCAAAATATAAAACTTTTTAGGGTTGGACACGAGTGTTAAGATAGTACTCTCTCATCCCAAATCATGCGACTTCTAGCATTTAAAATTTATCTTAAAATATAGCAATTCCTCAAGAAAGTATATTAAATGAAGAGATTTTAATTGGTTTTAAAAAGAAAATATGTGGAGAAATTAAATGAGTAAAAAATGTAATTGGTTGAGAGTCCCACTAGACTGAAGACAAAGGCCGAGGCGGCATCCTAGATGTAGCAAAATCCCTTAGGACAAGTACTATAAGCCCCTACATGTTACCCCTAAATTTGTCATATAGGATTAAATGATGAGGTGGAGGAGAGAAGTTAGAAGAGAGAATAAGCCATTACGCATATAAGGGGCAACCTTCACACAATCTCCAAGAAAATTGCAAGATGATATAAGAGCAACTTTAATAGTATAGCCCATTACTAGTTCCAATTCATCTATAGCCAATCTAATAGCCAATTCATATAATAGTTGTTTACTATACTATTAATATACGGTCCCACCTGTCATACACACATTGCGTCTCGGAGTCCGTGCTGTAATTGGCTACAGATCTGTAGCCTGCCACTCTTCTCTCTCATCTTTTATATCATTAAAATATGTTTATAGCTGGCTAATAGTCTCCTATTGTACCTGCTCTGAGAGTAAACTAATATTAGGATTTGTGTATTAGATGTGATATGTTGAATTTGTTATCTCTTAATTAATAATAAGATAGCCTGGTTTAAATTAGATGTGGCATTCACCTCCACTATATAACTTGCCCTTATTCCCACTCTGTGAGAATTCCGCTCACGGCTTGTTTGGTAACTCGAGGGAAGGGGATTGGGTGTTTACACGAGGGAATCGATGATAAGATTAAGATGGGAATTTGATTTTTAGTCCCAATATCTTGTTTGGTAGAGGTGATGAAAATTGATAGGGAATTTAGTTGGAGATTAGGTCATTAATAAAAACGGATGGCTGAGATTTGTTTAAACAAAGTAAAGGAGGAATTCCCTCCCAATTACCTGCCCCTACCCAGGTATTGAAAAGGAGGGAGTTCCTTCCTCAATTCCCCATCCTCATCCCACCAAAATTCCCATGTCTCCCAACCAAACTCTTAATAGCCTCATCCATCTAAACTCCCAATCCCTCCTAAAAACTTCCTCCAACCAAACGGGCCATCAAGGCGCGTGATTGGACCCAATCAATCCGAGGCACGGCCAAGCTATCCATATTAATTAGTTTCTGTAAATACTACTGAGGGCTAGGGACATCCACTAGTTAAGTGTTCCATCTCTACCCTCGATAACTACTACGCATATAGTTATTGAGGGGTAGCAATGTAATTTACCACACATCTTCCTGTTTAGATGAAATTAGCTAGAATGACAAATAGTTTGAACCGAATGGGTATACTAACATTTTTGAATAACGTGTCTTTAGTTTATACAAGTCGCAACTCAAAAAATGCCTTCCAATAAGTCCTAAAAGATCCACAAACGACACCCATCGTGTTAGCACTTCTGCCTTTTTTTATTAAAAAATTGTCCATTTTACTTTCTCGAACTATTTTAGAATCACTTAACCTTGTAAACTATTTTTTTCTCTTATTTTACCCCCTTAAACTTTCAAAAAGGTCTACTTTACTGCTTAATATCGTTTATCTACGTTTCTCTTTATACGAATCATATTGCAAGCTAAAAGTTTTTAATAAATAGATGGCAATATTATCGAAGTTCCAAAAAAAAGTTCTTTACTATTTGCTTAAAATTTGAAATATGTTTAAACCAATCTTAGGTGTTTTCAATCTAAGTAAATATAGTGATAACAAAATTATGAAAATATTGAGGTATAATATAAGTTGTAATGCATCTAACGACCCTACCGAATATCGGTGCAAAATGCAACTTACATAGAGAAAAATAATAAAGAGAAACTATTAATTAAGGAGTAAACTAAACCGTTTTCAATAGTTGGGTGCATGCGTAAAATAAAACTAAAAACACTTTGCGTTCGGCTATAATAGAAACCCTCGAATCTAGAGGTGTTTGGTGTTCCAATCCAGTTTCAACAATGCACTTTTCGGACGGAGAAAGCAGAACTGCTTGGTGTAGTTTGGGTGTTGAAGTGCTATAATTAAATAGTTAAGTTATGTAAAAAGTAGTACTCCCTCCGTTCCGAAATGTATGCATTTCTATGAATTTAGACTCTGTTCTAAAATTTTCAGATTCATGCGAAAGAGCTTGTAGCCTAGTGGTTACAAGAAATTCAGTAGCACCTTAGGTCTTGGGTTCGACTCTCCATGAGAGTGAATTTTTCAGTATTTAACGACTTTGTATTTTCAGTGGTAGGCGACGTACCCGTCGACAGCGAGATGCTTGTGGTGACTTCGTTAATCTCCAGGATTTGCCGACCCGGTCTTCAAAGATACTCATAGGGGTAGGGTTTGCGTACGTGCGTTTATAGGGTTGGGTGTGTCTGTGTTGTGCTGTGTAATTTAAAAAAAAATCAGATTTATAGCTAGAAATGCATATAATTCAGAGCAGAAGGAGTATTATTTTTCCGGAGTTGCTAGAAATATGGCGCCATATGCTACAGTCGATTTTTTTTCAGCCACTTACACAGTAGTTACACCTTATTTACACCCCACTTACATATGCAATTAGTATGTAATTTTTGAATTTACATATGTAATTTTAGTACTTACATATGTAATTTTGAGACTTATATTGTAAATACACTAAAATTACATATGTAATTTAGGAACTTACAATATAAATACATGCCGACTATTTTTTGATAAAAAATATGGCGCCATAAATATAGCTATACCCTTATTTTTCTTTTACTCATCGAGTGTTCCATAGCCGATCAAACAGAAAGTGGACACAATTAACACGGCGACCAACTTGCATAGTGATCGGTAGGACACGGCTGCAGTAAAAAGAAGGGCACATTAACAACCACGGCCCCCTTTCCGGACCTTCCTTGCCGGCATCGATCGGCATGGCCGGCCTTCTCCTTCTTTTGTCGCCTCCCTAGCACGTACTACTACCATCTTTTCCCCTAATATTTTCTCATTTTCCTTTAAAAAAGAGATATTTTCCCCTAATTACTAGGATCCTACGTCCTCGTGAGTCAACCATCACCACTGCCTGCCTGCCCGTATCTCCTAAACAATAATTTACGAGCTGCACGAGATTGACTCGCTGTTGCCTTTGGTTACGACTTTAACCATAAAGATCACCGGAAACTCTGGTTCTTTGCCTGTCCGGCCGCCTACTCGCGCGTACGATCACATTAGAAAAGCAAAAGGAAGTTAGGTGATCACATCAAGAATTTCAGACCGGTTTGTTTGGAACAGTTTGAGAACGCTTTAGTTTAGCAGGGAAAAAAATTATACTCCCTCCGTCTATAAATATTTGACGTCATTTATCTTTTATGAAATATGTAAAAAATATATGTATATATAAATGTATATTTAACAATAAATCAAATGATAAGAAAATAATTAATAATTACATAATTTTTTATAAGACGAATGGTTAAACATATTTAAAAAAATCAACTGCAGGTGCGGGTGTTTATAGTTTCACGTTATAATTAGAAGTTTGACTAAAATTGGAAGTTCGAATAAAAAGGTTGGAAGTTTAGGTGTGTAGAAAAGTTTCGATGTGATGAAAAAAATTAAAAGTTTGAAGAAAAAATTGGGAACTAAATAAGAGATGTGTTAAATATTTAGGAACGGATTGAGGGAAGTACTTATCACAGTCCAAACGGCGCCTGATGGAGCTTATTAGTCAAGATATATTCTTTCAGTATTCCCTTTGCTTGCTTGCTTGCGTACTGGAGAGAGCGCGAACCAGACATGATGCATGACCGGTCAAATCGAACAGGGGCTCTAGTCTACTAAGCGCCATCGTGTAGGAGATGATGTCTCATTAGGCTTATCCTCTCTGATGACCATACGTGTTGCTTTCTGACTTGGATTAATATACGCCATGCGGATTTGTAATCTCTACTACTACCACGCAATAGAATTGAAATGAACATTTCACTTTGTTCCCAAAAGTTGTGAATGATTTGGAGATGTACATGTGGCTGTTCTGAACTTCTGATCACGCAATTGCAATCTATTTGGACTTAAGAATCAACAACTCATCGGTTAATTTCCCATTGATTTTTCTTTTCCTATCAAAACTCTCGCTACACATGTACAGATTATTTTTTTCTTCTTCCCTCCACAAATCAATTCGATCTCCTCCTGTTTTCTCTATCATCAAATTACATTTAGAAAAGAACAAAAGAAGAAAAGAAAGAAAAGAACGGAACACGAAGGTTGATCTCCTGTTCCATGATGGCCCTGACCAAAAGCTTCGATTTTTCAGTTCAGAACGGCATGATGTGGGTGGTCTTGGAGTCGTAGCCGGCGAGGCAGCTCTTGGCGTTCACCTTGTAAATCTTGAGCAGCTCGAGCGCCATCTGCCTCGCCGCCGGCGAGCACCCGCTCTGCAGCAGCAGGAGGAGGCGAGTCAGGCCGCCCTCCGACGCCGCCGCGGCGTCGGCGGCGCGCCGGTCCCTGTACTTGTGGCAGACCGCCCAGAGCACGGCCTCCGCGGCCTCGGCGCCGTCGCGGCCGGCCTTCATCATCCTGCCCACCACCGCGGGTACGGCCTGCTCGGCGTCCTCGCAGAGCGCGGCGCGGCCCTCGGCGCAGCCGACGGCGGACTCGAGGACCCGGAGCGCCCTGGCGGACGCGGCCGGGTCCGCCGCCGTGGCGCGCAGCGCGCGCGCCGCGGCGCGGACGGTGCCGGCGCGGACCATCTCGGCGCGCGCGGCGCGGCGCGACCGGGAGATGGTGGCGAGGCAGGAGAGGCCCGCGCCGACGGCCCTCGCGTCGAGGCTCCCCTTCTCGTCGGCGGGGCCGACGAGCCGCACCAGCTCGGCGACGAGCTCGGCCGACTCGGCCACCGCCTCCCTCGCCTCGTCGGCGGCATTGGCGAGCAGGAACTCCACCAGCCTCGCCGCGTCGACCCTCGCCTCCAGCCCGCTCGCTCCGCGCATCACGCGCGCCAGGGACGCCGCCGACGCCGCGGCGTCCGCGGCGAGCCCGGCGGCGACCCGCCTCTTGTTCGCGTCCTCGACTCCATCCATCGCGACGACCGCGGCGAGCACCCGCACCGCCGCCTCGCACCCTTCCACGCCGACCTCCCGCTCGCCCTTCCTCCGGAGCACCGAGGCCACGGCCTCGGCGGCGCCACCGGCGCCCACCAGCGCGTTCTTCTCGAACTCGTCGACGTCGTCGTCCGAGAGGTACGCCGCGAGCTGGCGCAGCGCCGCGGAAGGGTCGGCGTCGGGCGACGCGACCTGGCGGACAAGGCCCGCGGGGGAAGAAGTGACAGAGGCATCGCCGGAGGTGGCGGGGGAGGAGGAGGACCAGTGGGAGATGAGGCTGCGGAGGGTGAGGTTGGGGACGAGGTCGGTGGAAGGGAGGGGGAGCATGGTGGCGGGGCAGGTGGTGTTGCCGGAGTCGAGCCATCGCTGGATGGAGGCGCGGTCGTAGGTGACGCCGGTGCAGAGGCTGACCGGGGAGCGCATCACGTCGAGGGAGATGGGGCACCGGAAGAAGCTCGGGATCTTCACCTCCAGCGCCTGGTGCTGCGGCGGCAGCCTCATGCTCCTCGTCGCCGCCGCCGCCGCCGCCGCCGTCGTCGTCGTCGTCGTCGACGATTCCTTCCTGCCCATGGCGATGGCGATGGCGATAGCGAGACGCCTCCGTTCGATTCTTGGAAATGGAAGTGGAGAGGAAGAGGAAAGCGAGAAGGTGGGGGGTGGTGGTAATATGGAAGTGTGGTGGAGTGGGTCTTTGCTCGCTGGTCTACCGTGCTCGTGTGAAAGCCCACCACTACCGTTACAAAATATTTTTTTTTTCTCTTGCCAAACGGCATTTTCAGCTATGTCCCTATATGTGTTTAATTTGTGGAAGAAATTCTCTCTTGGAAATGATGACAAAGGGATATCAATCAGGTGGAGGCCTTGTTTAGAGCCAGTTTAATAGTATAGCTCACTACTTACTATTAGTCAATGTTAAAATTAACATGTATAGTAGGTTGGCTATATTAAAGCAGGTACAATAGCAGGCTATAAGCCAGCTGTAAATATATTTTAAGAAGTTAAATAAGGAGAGAGAAAAACAGCGGGCTACATATTTGTAGCCAGCTGTAGCACGGACTCCAAGACGCAGTGTGTGTATGATAGGTGGGACCAGGTATTAATAGTATAGTATGTAACTATTGTATGAATGAGTTATTACATTGGCTATAGATGAACTGGAGCTAGTAGTTGGCTCTGCTATTGAACTTGCTCTAAGGTTATCTTTATTTTCTTCGTCCTCTCTCTTTCTCTCACTATAAATTTAATGCATATTTCTTAGAGCTTGTGTGTAGTTAGCTCTTGCATGAGAGCCAACACTCTCCACTTTTATTTATCTTTCTCTTCCACGTAAGCATATAGCTTGTTTATATCCCAGTATTATCCTTGCTCTTAGATGGGGAAAAATTTTAGGTTTAGGAGTCACACAAGATATACGGATATACATTTGAAGTATTAAACGTGGTCTAATAACAAAACAAATTACACTCCACAAAAAAATTACAAATTCCGTCAGGAAATTGCGAGACGAATCTATTAAGACTAATTAATTCGTCATTAGCAAATATTTACTGTAGCACCACATTGTCAAATCATGACGCAATTAGGCTTCAAAGATTCGTCTCGCAATTTACACGCAAACTATGTAATTGGTTTTTTTTACATATTTAATACTTCATGCGTGTGTCCAAACATTCGATGTGATGGGTGAAAAGTTTTTGTTTTAGAAACTAAACAAGGCCTGAGTTCGAGGTCCGAAAAGAGTACTGCTATACATACGATCTAATTATATAAGTCATGTACAATTAGAGACATACAACCATAAATCAACTAAAAGAGCGTATGTTCATATATATTATAACCGTTAATCAAATATAGTCATACATATATATTATGACCGTTAATCAAATATAGTCATACATAAATCGGATAGTTGGATCGTATGTATGTATAGTAATCTGAAAACTGATAGATTAGGAAGTGTGAACTGAAACGAGTTGCTCCTTCTGTCTTAAAATATAACAATATAATAATAAATTGGATATAAGTTAATATTAATTTATATTGAGATTTAAATAGTTTAATTAGTATTAATTCAAATCCGAGATTCAGATTTTTTTAAAAAAAAGGATTTTAGAGCTTAGTTTTTAAAGTTAGTTTTGTCTTTTTATTGTTTTCTATTGTCCAGCTTGACTTTTAGACCCATAGGAAAGGAGTATATAGAAGTCTTACCTTAAAATTATTTTTGGTGCTTCGTTTATTTGTTTTACGACTTATCAAGTTTGCTCAACCAATCAGGTTATGTCAATCCAAATATTTAAATAAGATTTCATACGTGATTTTCTAAAACATGGTAAATACATTTTTTTTCATTTATTTGATACGAAATCCTAAATGCAATTCGATTAAATTTGTATTAAAATATAATCCATCAAGTATCATAATTTTCAAATATAATACTCCATACGTATGTATACTTTTAATCTGTCCAACTAAAATAAAAATATCGATTGTTGATTTTTTTGGAAGATTAACTACCATAAAGAACAGCAAGTATTTGTGATAGTAAAGCACAGAGAAAGCTTTGGTATGTAGTAACTCTCAAATTATACACATATATGAACATTAACAGGTTTGAATTTGGGGAAAAAAACAGAAAAAAACATACAAACAATTACATATTGATATGATGTACTAGTACAGATATGCAACTTTCCGTTTTGTTGGGTGTGTACCCGCAAAAGAGCGTGTTACAAAAAGAGGGCGTGTGGGGGGGAATACCACGAGGAAGAAAGAAAAAAGGGGGGGGGGGGGGGGGATCCTCGAACAAAAGGAACGGTGTCCCCTCAAGGTGCACCTCATTGGAGTGAGATCTGAGTGGGCGGCAGCGGAGGTGGTTTTTTTCGCGAGTTCATTTTCCCGAGCTGGAAAAATACAGCCAGGATCTGGTGTCTTATTTTCCCGCAGGTGAGAGGGGGGGGGTTTTTTTTTTTTTTTTGGCCCCCCCCGAAGAGAAAGCGAAAGCGATCGCTGAGGCGCTGGGCTGGGAAGATAAATATTATCTGATCTCTGCGGCGAGTGGACTGGGCGTGAAAGATCTCTGCTGGGATGTGATGACCTTTATCATTGAAAACCCGGTCGTGCAGGCTGAAGAAGCGAAACAGCCAGAGAAAGTCGAATTCATGTGGGATGATTATCATCGCCAGCAGCTTGAAGAGATTGCTGAAGAGGATGATGAAGACTGGGATGACGACTGGGACGAAGACGACGAAGAAGGCGTTGAGTTCATTTACAAGCGTTAATCACTGATGATAAACGCCAAATCAGCCTGATGCGCTACGCTTATCAGGCCTACAAGAGAATTGCAATATGTTGAATTTGCACGATTTTGTACCCCGGTTTTTTTTTTTTTTCCCCCCCCGGCATAAACAAAGCAAACTTTGGGGGGGGGGGGGGGCCCCCCCATCTGCCGGGGGTTTCTTTTGGGGGGGGGGGGGGGGGTGGGGTTATTCAAAGAGAAAAGCAGGATGAGTCAAAGGAAGAGCAATTGAGGGTGACGTATGGGGCGGGGTGAGCGGTCGCTTTCCCCCCGGCTTTGCTTTGCTCGCTGTCGTGCGGCTTCACCTCTCCCTTTCTCTCCTTTTCCCTCCTCTCGTCTCACTCCGGCCTTGTTTTCGCTTCGTTTTTCACTTCACAGAAAAACGATATATATATATATATATATATATATATATATATCTATATATATATATATAAACACGTACTCCAGTGGAGAAAACTGGAAAGAAAAACGAATAAGGCCGTATAAGAGATCCAAAAAAATTTGGCTAAAAAGTCGTATAAATGTTTGGACACATACATGAGATATTAAATGTGAGAAAAAATAAACTAATTGCACATTTTACATGTAAATTGCAAGATGAATATTTTGAGCCTAATTACTATATGATTTGACAATGTGATGTTATAGTAAATATTTGCTCATGACAGATTAATTAAGTAATAAATGTGTCTCACAGTTTACAGGTGGATTCTATAATTTATTTTATTATTAGTCTGCGTATAAAACTTCGAATATGCGTCGATATACTTTAAAAAGAACTTTACAGCCAAAGTAACTAAACACATAGTAAGAGAAAAAATGGCCGTGTCTCTGTTTTTGGGGGAATTATTATTCTGGCTGGGCTGCACGGATTTTGTCCTCCGGTCAATGGTCAAGGATGATACGGATCCATGTCGCCGTCGGCCTCCCCGTCCAAATCGAAGGCGAAAGAAAAGATGAGGGAGAGGAGATGGAGCCACGCACGCTAGCTGGTGCCGATGGAGCTAGCGCTCGCGTCCGCCTCTTGTCGCTCGCTGGTTACCGTGTCGCCCAACTCGATCGCCGTTTCATACAACGAGAAATGAACTGGCGCCTCCTTCCACCGTGTCTGCGTAGAGAATGTTGGCATGACATGTGCTCGTCAAATTTGATTGTGATTTTGGTTGAAATATCCGAGGTTGTAGTCTTGTCGACGATACCGGCCATTCCAGCCAGCTCGGCCATGGCTGTACCGGCCAAATGCGATTTAGAATTCAACAGTTTCCTTCCATCTTTCTTTTCCTTTTTTATTACATTTTTAATTAGCTAATGTTATATGAAAAAGATGGAGGGAGTATGTCTTTATTTTATTTATTTACATAATGTGTAGTACTACTACACCCATTTTGAAATATAAGTATTGCTTTTAAAAGTATATTTGAATATCCATCATCCGAGTTTATTTTTTAAAAAAACACGCATAGATGTTTATGGAGTAGTAGGAGTATTTTGGATGAAGTATTTTACTGTATTAAACTTAGATGCTCTCGCCATCAAACTTTTGTTGAGCTAACCATTAGAGCAGATACAATAGCAGGCTATACGTCAGCTATAAACATATTTTAAAAAGATAAAGGAAGAGAGAAAAGCTGCGATCTACAGATTTGTAGCCAGCACGGACTCCAAGACGTACGGTGTGTATGATAGGTAGTACCAGATATTAATAGTATAGTAAACAACTACAATACAAATTAGCTATTACATTGAATATAGGTAATTTAAAGCTAGTAATTAGCTATACTATTAAACTTGCTCTTAATTAGTATCACACGATCAAAGGCTCGTCGAATCACCAACTTTTTTTCTCTCTCAAATTGTTCAGGTGAATGGATCAGTAATTGACCTTGACGTTTCGACCATGCAAGGTGGTAAAAGCTCGCCGTTGAAATTTTTACCTTTTTCTCGAGAGGAACGAGGTTTCTTACTTTTGGATGTGTATGGGTTGGAAAAGCTGCCTTTTCTCGTGTGTTTAAGACCCCAGGTGTTCTCGTTGGGTGAAAAACAACCAGTTGTATTGAATGGGCAATTAAAATATCCAACAAGAAAAAAGAAATAAATAAAAGGCCAACAGATTCACCTAGGTTATGTTACAAAATACTCCCTAAAGCTATCATGTGTTGATAGACATGTATATCACTATCAACCAGGGTTTCCCAAACCGCCTGGGCCGGGGTTTCCGCGCCCCCGGCGGTAAGCACGGTTACCGCGGTAACCATAAAAAACCGTACGAAACCGTGTAAAATTGATCAAAAATTCAAATTATTTTTTAAATTTATTAAAATTTAAGGGGTTACCGCGGTATTTCTATTACCGTACCCCCGCGGTAAGAGCGGTAACCGCGGTTACTGACGGTAATGTAAACCCTGCTGTCAACACATTCATTATAGAGAAAATATTCCAAAAGCCATCATGTCATGAATCAGTTGACTCAAAATTTTAAAAATAAATGGGTAGGATATGGTTATGTACAAAAGATATCGGTATCTAATACATTTTCATTATAAAAGTATTCGAAAAAATCATGTCTATGAATCTATGGAGTAAACCTTTTATAAATCTTGTGACTTAGGTAGTTGTAGCCTTAACCTGTCTAACCATGTTCAATCTAACCCATGTTTTAAGCTTGTTTGGATTGGTGTCATTTTAAGTTATACCACTTGTTTGGTAAAATGGA